TTGTAATGCGTTGCTTTTAGGGAGGGGGGGGGGGGGGGGGGGTGAGTCCTTGTGAGTCAGACAGACTGCATCCTGTGCCAGGGTTGCCCAAGAACACAGAGCTGAGACGTAACATCCCCTTCCTTCCCTAACCTGCCACGTACCACACAGAGGTTGCCTGTACCACTCGTGGCACTCATGCCACAGGTTAGCCATCCCTGTTCTAGCCTTATTAATTTATTATGTTGGTAAAGAGATACTTCATTTTACCTCAGTGGTTATATAGCACAGTCCATGCTAATTTGTAGGATTATGTTCTGGAAAATAAACCACATTTATTTTATTTTTTCTACATATATCAACCATGTTGAGGGGAAGCCAAACTCCACAGTTACATCTAATGCATTTTAATTTAACAGATATTCCTCAATGGAAAATTAAGTCAGGGTTTCTCACAGATTTTTTCCACATTCTTGGCTCAACCCTGATTTTCTAGACACTTTAGGTAGCTGTCTGCTACTCAGTCACCCCAGCAGTTTGGCAGCTAGTTGAGTGCATTTTGCAGTGTATCATAAACCATCATTAACATAGTTTCCATCCTACAATATTTTAGCAACCAACTCCAGGGGAAGAATTTCTAAAATGTGAATTAGCAACATTTTGTCTTGCTTATTTGTCCAAGTATTTCTCAAACAGCATTTCTGACTGTCTTAAAAGTTAGAGGAGGTGAAAGATACCTTTGGAAATATAGGATTTAAGGCCACATCTATAGTTTCCCTGATGAGCTTGGGACTGATGCCAAGAAACAAGTCCCCCACTTGTTTCCACTGGGCACATCTACACGAGACGCTTCATGTGCCTTGGACTAATTGTACTGCACATTAGTACGGCTGGCAAAAACTATGCCATTGGACAGTAGCTTTAATCCAATGCACATTAAGCGTCACACAAAAGCATTCATCTGCATTAATTGTACAGTAGCGCTGATTACGGCGCATTAAGTTAATACCTGTTATAACAGGAACCGAACTGAATGTGCTGAGATTATAGCATATTAATGAACATGTAAACGTGCTCACTGTGCGTGTACCCAAGCTCAACTGACTGCTAAGAGGCCAGAGTACACACCTCCCACCACATCCTGGGTTCTCCAAACTTTTAGACATGGCCACAGAATGCTCCAGTTATGGCCAAACTATTATGGCCTTGCTCCTGCTCCTATTTAAGTCAACTGTTCTTGATCATTAGTGACTTACAAGTACACTGGCTATTAAACGATTCTGAAAAGGAATCAGCAGCTCTGCTTGTGTCAGGTTTAATAAGCAAACAAGATACAAATTTTAAAAAAAGCAGATTCCTATATCAAAAGATCTACAGTATGTTCCTTGTATTTATAAATAAAAATACAAACCAAAGACCGGCTAGCAATGCACAGAAAGTCAAATTCTGAAGTAGCAGTGCAGATTCACAATCTGTGTCGCAGGAGTCTTTAAAGAAAAGCTTTTCAGAAACTGGGAAACTAATTTAGCACCATCTTTTTTTTTTTTTTTTTTTTTTTAAAGTCCTGAAATACATCTTGTTAAAATAAATAAATAAATAAATAAATAAAATCAAAGGTGTGTGGAAGAATCTGAACAGGCAGTTATTCTCAAATAGGCAGAATTGTGTTTCTTCACAAATTTCTTCAGTGTCTGAAACCTTTTCTTCTTGGCTTTGCAGCCCTGGTGTAAAACATATTTATAATATTTGCAATCTAAAACAAAAAATAAACAAGGTTATAAAATCCACTATTTAGCCTGAAAAATAGTTTGAGTGCAAATGATTCCTTGACAGAACACTTCTATTATGCCTTTATTTGTATAGAAGTTGTATACCATCACCCACCCCAGGAAGGATCAATAAAACGTTTAGACTCAGATAGGCCATTCACATATCACCCAAGCTACAAGGACAAACAACATGTGAGCATTTGTACAATCTACATTTTTGTAACATCCATCAGATACCATATTTATACAAATCCAAAAATAGGTTCCCATGAGCCCCACCCCCGGTCAACATAGGGAAAAAAACCAGGGCTAAAGTCAGAACTGAGTGGCTCCCTGCCCTGGGACAGGGTAGCTCATGCAGTCGGGGAGGGGCTTCCAGCAGTAGAAGAGGGGCACAGAGGAAACCCTGTTTGGGGTGGGGGGAACCAAAGCCACCACAGAGGGTAACTGGCAGGGGAAAAGCAGAGGGAGAGGTGGTGGGTGCATAGAAAGCAGAAAGGGGTTAGCCACAGGCATGGAGAGGGGGCAGGGAGTCAGGTAGAGGACAAGTAGCAGGGGGGACAGGCACAGGTTGGGGGGCAAGGGGCAAGGTCTGGCCCCTTATCCCTGCTTTCCCACCGCAGCAGTGGGGAGGAACCAAATTTAAGACTATCCTCCAATAATTAGATTCTATGCATGGAAAATTATAACAATTTTATCATTTTTCATTTATAGAATCTAATTATCGGAGGGTTATTTTAAATTCAAAATCTCTTGGACTTGGGTAAATACAGTATATTAGGACCTACAATTGTAAGAGAGCAACAGAAGAGTTTATTTAGCTGTGCGAAGCAAACATATACACATTTCAGGAAAATCTAATCCTTCATCCAAGAGATGAGCAATTGGAACACTGACCCAGAAGGTAGAAGATCTGGGTTTATTTCCTTTTTCAATTGAAAAAAATTCAAAACCTACATCTCCCACCTTCTAGAAGACTGCCCTAGACTCTTCTGAGTTATGAACACTCTAAGGACCTCCAGCAGAACCAGATTCATTTTGCAGAGAAGTATTAAAAGCTCACTGGGTCAAAGAGAAGCAGTATGACACTACAGTCTAGCTGTTGGGGCATTCACTTGGGAAAGGGAAGTTGTAAAAATCAGTCTTTTCTCCAACGACTGTTGGTGCATTTTCTATAGTGACCATTTAATATAATATATACAAAACACTACTTGAAGCAAAGGCTGGAACTATTGCTAAAGTTAGACCAGCAAGATATGAACCGAATTTCACAAGCAAAATACCTAACACTAGATTTTCTTGTATTCAAGCCTACACAATCAAGCCAGCCTCTTTAAGGTGATGGGAATGAGTTTCTTCCAGGACACAAATCAGAAAACCCCTGCCATTAACATTTGAACCAGAAAATATTTCTCATACACTGAAAAGGAACAATAATTAAAAGTTACCTTTTCCCAATAAGATTCCAGCCAGCAATGCTTTTTCATAAGCAAGTTTTTCATTTTCCTGCCAATTTCTTTTAGCCAAATAGTGGCTGAAGTGAAAGGCTGGCCACCAGTCCTTTCTGGAGTTCCATTCCTCCTTTACCCAGTCAAGATGCTTGTTAGAGCTGGAAAAAGACAAACGAGTTACAGCTAATCTCAAAGAGAGTGGGAAGGCATTAATTTATTTATTTGTTTTTAAAGTTAAATCACACAAGCATTGTTCTCTGTGCTATGAATTTCACACATTTCCAAAAAGAACACCAAAGATATGGCACGTTCATATTACATGTTTGACAGCTGTCAACATCCTGCTGCCTGCAGTTACCCCTTTTGCTTTGCTGGTCATGCCACTTAAGAAAACTCATGATCTAAAGTGCAGCTCAATTGCAGTTACAGTCTGCATGCTGGCACAGCCTACCTGAAATAAGAATGAAATATTTTAATAAGAAGTGCCATTTTCATAGCCCATTGGTTCACTTTAAAAAACTGTGTATTACTACTGAATTTAAATTTGTAAGTTAACAGACACTGAAGTTAAAGGGGATGAATTTAAGTTATATTTCTTCAGCAGTAGTTAATTAGAGCAACTTGTTTGTCAGTGTCTAAGGAAGTGATCTTCCAGTAGAAGTGGGCACCTAATTCATTTTGACATTTTCTGTGGCTGGTTCATAAAAGAAGCCAGCAGGCTAAGATAGTCTTTTTAACAGGTTTCACAAGTCACCAAGACAGCACACTCATGTCTTAAATTATTTCTGGATCAAAACCACACCAAAGCTTCTTATATGCTATGAGACTAGCAAAGTTGACTAATCTCTCAAGAAGAAACTAGTCACCACTAAAAGCTATTTTAACCATTTCTGTGTAGTATCCAAATTTTCCAAAAAAACACTGTAAGTTTACTGGGAATTCTATTTAGTAAGACCTAACCCCAATCCTAAACAACTTGTTATTTAAAAGGTATTTAAGTGGAATTTAAAAATCACCTTTAAAAAACCTACAAAGAATACAAGCTGTATCAAAGGAAGCTGCTGACAAGCTTGGTAAAAATCATGAATAACTGAATTATGTAGGGGTACACCAATAAAGATTTTTTGGGCTGATACTGACGATCAATTACTGACACGTCATACAGGCCAATACCAATCCGATTGCCAATATGCAGCCGGACAGCTTGGAGAATGGCACCTGGAGGCCTCCCACAGTGAGGGAGGGAGTGGGGCTGGGACAGGTGCTGCACAGCTGGGGAGGGGAGGGGCATGGGGCAGAGCCATCAGCTTGTCCAGGGGGCTGGTGGTTCCTGCCACTGTGCTCTCCCCAGGGGAAGCCTAAGAGGCATATGCCCCCCAGGATCTATGTGCAGGGCAAGGGCAGGCTGCCCACTCAGGGCAAGGGCTGCATTAGGCTCTTCCTGGCAGGGGCTGGGCCAGGGCTGCGCTCAGGCCAGGAGACAGTGGTGCTAGGAAGGGAAGCTATATGATCACCCCAAAATTCACCATATCCCCCCCTGTAGCTCCCTTCCCAGTGCTGCTGCCGCCTGCCCCAAATGCAGCCCTGGCCCAGCCCCCTTCAGAAGAGCCTGGCGCAGCCTCTGGCCCCAAGTGTGCAGTGGCAGCCCACCCTCAACCCGTGCACAGATCCAGGGGGCACACGCCCTGCCCCCCTGCCCCATGTCCCTGGGGTGCACGCAGCGGTGGGAGCCACTCCCCTCTCCCCCCACATAGGCTCCACCCCATGCCTCACCCTGGCTGGGCAGCGCCTGCCCCAGGCCCAGCCCCAGCCCCATTCCTTCACTGTGGGGGCCTTGATGTCTCCAAGCCACCCCCCTTCCCCTCCACAGACTCACTGGCCAGATGCTGCTCTTCAAGCTGCCAGGCTGTATTCCTGGTTGTGTGCATGCGTGGGGCATTTGTTAGTGACAGTACCAGCCACATCAGCCAAAAAAAGCCAATTGCCGATAATGTCAACTTTCCTTTCATCAGTGCCAATACAATATGAACTGATGTATCAGTGCACCTCTAGAATTATGTGCCTTGCCCTTGGTAGAGTAGCAAAGACAGTAGAATCACTTTATTTGATTGCTTCCATTCACTACTCTCTTGAAATCTGTTCACCAGTGACCTCTTGGCCAGGGGGCTGAATACCTTGGAGACAGGTCCCTCTGGAGTTGTAGTCAACTGCCCTCTGGGATAGTCAGAGGGAAATGTCTAACCCAACCAACAATCGGCCTATTTAAAAGAATACAATGTTTTACAGGTTTCAAACGCTGCGTCTTTCAGGTGATACCTCTGTAGCCTGCTAGTAGACTATTGTAAATATTTCTTTAAACATTCTTTAAAAAGAAAGGTCCAAAGGCTTGAGGCTAGCTGAGCACAGCCACTGAACCGAGGGTCTGTCTTCTCAATGACAGTTTTGTCAAAGGACAGAAATAAAAGGATGTTTCCACATTGGTCTAGCTGACAACTTTCAATTCCCTTAATTCAACTATAGCAAATGTTAGCAAATGGGGTACTGGACTTACTTCTCCAGGATCTGTTTAATCTGTTCCGCTAAACAACTCCAAGCCTTTACATTTTCCTTCCAGCCAGCAAAATCCAGAACTTCAAAAATAACTTCCAGCCCCAATCGACGTTTTTTATCTTTTTCTGCAAGGAGGAGGAAAAAAAAGAGATCAGTCCTGAATTCACGAGTACAGCAAGCAGCAAGGAAGATCTAATTTGCTGTCATTCCACTGGCCAGTGTGATGCTCTGTTCCTAATTTTAAGCTTAATTCTCCCTCCAACTCCCTCCACAGAAATGTAAGTCCATTAAAAAAAAAAAATCTCCTTGACAGGCCACAAAGTTTTCTTTTAGGACTTTCAGACTAATCCTAGTCAACCAACAATTATGACTGTTTATGCAGAACAACATTTTTCCCTCATAGCCACACCAGCCCTCTGGCTGCAATGTTAATCTTACTTGTGCCATTTAAAAAGAACATGCTATTGAGAAAACTATGTTCTCTTCTTACAGTACATACATATACAACTGCATGTAAATAAATCTTAGCAGAGAGGGAGATCACACAGCCCACTAGCTTGAAAGTGCAAATCTTTCTACTCTGTACCTAGTAAACCCTCATCCCAGTCCCAATGAAGTCAGTGAGTTTCAGCACTGGAGTTCAATAAAATCTTTGACCTTATGGTCCCATCTGCCTGATGACCATCACCTTGTACAGGGTGCACTGTACCCTTAACATCTAGCACTCTACTGCCTCCCTTCAGGTCTAGACTGTCCTTGACAGTGCTCCAAAACTGTGGTGGATTAGGTCCTTGATTTACTTAGCTCAATAAGGAGCAATGTCTTTGCTTTGTTTCTTAATTAGTCATCCTAGGTGTGATGATGAGACAGGAATTCCTTCTTGAGTGCTATGTAATAGCCAGCTGTCAATTTTAAGCAAAACTACTAAGTTACCGGAACAGTAGTTCTGACCAAACTCTGACTGATACAAAATCAGATAAATGGATTTTTCCAAACCTGCCCTTTGTATGACAATAAATGAGACATCTCAGTTTCAAGAGAAAATATAAACAAAGCTGAGGTAGGAACAGGAGGAGGAGGAGGAGAAAAGCAACTTAGAATTAAAAAGCCCTCAACCATCTACCTGCCTGTTGTCATGCATTGCATCTGGGAGAAACAAGTCAAGAAAGAATTTTACTTTAATTGTAAGTGACTTGCGTTAAATTCTGGAGACCATGATCAGGTGGCTTGAAAGGCAAAAGCCATTTTGGAGAAATGTGTATTCTGTTCTCTGATGTGTGCAATACAGACTGTATAAATACAGAGTATAATAAATTAAGTATTCCTGATAAATTAGAGGCCCCTCTACAAAAACAGACACCCAAATTACTAGTCATTATTGAGACCCTGGCCATGGGGCCTGTGTTTTATGACAGTAAGTGCCAGTCAAGTCTCCAGATGTATTTATATTGAATGTCTTAAAGTTTTGAAACATCTCCCTCTAAATCTTCTGTTCTCTTCTGACCCCATAATTAAAAAAAAAAGAAGCAATTAAAAAGAAAAACTACAATTATTGTATTATGAATTATTAAAAAGGAATTATTTAAAAAGGAAGAAGCTAATGCAAGTATTCTACAATGCCTTCACCTTACTTAAATAAAGCTTAAAGAAAGGAAAGGAAAAAGGACATTAAAAGACTTACTTGATTTTTTAAGCATGGTATAAAATTCTAACATTAGTTCATGAGAGGGAACGGTCTTGTGCAAAATCTGAAGAGGAAAAGAGTTTCATTATAGAATTTGAAATATTTATCAAGGAGACGCATACACTTTACAAAGGTTTTTTTAATGTACATATCTAAGTGACTGTGTGCTTTAATTTATTCATATAAAACAAACAGTTAATACTTAGGGACACTTCCTATAATGGTAGTTCAGATAAGCATGGCACCCTCTGCAAGAACAAACCAGAAGCAGTCCAAGGAGAGTCCCAAACACCCTTAAACATAGTGTACTCTTTTGGGAGAAACCTAATTCCACAGACTGGCACAATGGGAGCTGGGTTAAAGTCCCCATTTTCTGCTACCCTTGTCTCTTTGGAGTTTAAGTAAAATAGTTTATGCAAGGGCTGCAGTGGACTTGAAAAGTGCACCTATAGCTAAACACAAAATGCGTTCTTTGTACCTGCCCCTCCTTACGTACACCCAAAAAGGGCAGGCACAACACAGCTGTTAGTATTCATTATTTCCATTTGTTCTGCCCTTCCTTCAAGTCTCCTTAATGCTATAAGCTCCACACAGCTTTTTCCATTAGAACTGTCCAAGTCAGATTTTCTTTAGAACGTGTACTGCAAGATTCATTAACAACCAGTGACCGTGTATTATTGAGCTGACACAACAAATGGAGCCAGGCAGAGGCAAAGCAATATTTTTCTAAAGCCCTGGAGTGAAGACATCTATTAGAACCAAAAGAGGAATTATCCAACGGTCTGGGAGAGAACTCGATGCATTGCCTGCTTATCCAACTGGTGACTTTAAATGGTATATCTTTTGCCTAGCCCATATTCAAATCAGAATATAGAAAAATGTAGTGTTTTGTTTAAAAAAAAAAAAAAAAAAAAACAACCAATGTGTGGAAATAATCCAAGTACTGTACTTCACTGTAATACACAGTACTCACTCTGTTAGCTAATTTCATTGCCCTCAACACCTTGAAAACCTAGTGAACATACATGACTTTCAGAGCATATAACAAAGCACACAGCCACTGGCTACATATAGGACTCGGTAATTTCACTTTACCAAGCCATCACTTAGTTATACGGTGGTTCTACATCACCTGCCTCCTAGGGGCATTATGAATAAGAGGTGGTCACATCATCTAACAGTTAGAGCAAGGAACTGGAAAGAGCAACCTGTTTAGGCTGTAGAAACCAGTCACACTGACCGTGAGCCCTTAAGTTAATTAAGTTCTGGATGAACTCATGGCATTTTACCACAGACAGCAACGGATCCAGGATTTCACCTCTGTGCTTACTTGCCCATCTATAAAATTTGAATATACCCTTTTTAAAATAACTGAGACAATACATTTTTAAACACTAAAGTGCATTGTAAATATTGTGGTATGTATGTTGCATATGCATGCATGTGCAACTACTGGTAAAATTTTCAAGCGATATAAACTGTAAAATATTTCACCTATATATTTAAAGAAAAAAGAGCCTTCCTGGTTACCATATAGTAATTTTTCTCCAATTATGCCACAGAAAAATCTTTCTACTTAGGAAAACTCAGCCCACTGTTCTGCATTTAACTTGTAAAGAGAAGTTAATGTATAAGACTGCTCATTAATCCCAAACTCTTGGATGAAAGGAAAGCTACAATGATATAGTGAAGATGGAGTTGTATTCAAGAATGTTTGGTGCATAAAATTACCATGCATAAAACTAAAGTAGCTGTGGTAAAAAAAAAAAAAATCTGCTTTAATAAGGGTGTTTTGCTGCCATCAGGTGGCTGAAACGATTGTAAGGGTTGATGAGCAAAAAGTTACTGAAAAACAGACAAAGCTAAGGGTTAATCAATTAAATATATAGCCCAAAGAGAATTCAGTTAGCTTAGTGCAGAGAACAACTACCAATGGACAGCATTACCAGGATAGTTTATCATAGCTTAGCCCCACAGTTCAGTGAAAACATAAGACATACGCTAAATACTAGGTAGAGTCATTACTGTCAATATGTGGAAACATAACTACATTTGCCTTCTTTAAAAAGTTAAAACCAAACAACGCATTTTTGCATTTGTGTCCTACAAATCTCTTGTAGACAACCCCTTCCTTAACAACGGGTATAAACTAAAGACTGAAAATAAGAGAATTATCTAGTTTTTTCAGTAAGTTGCGCTGTGAAGCTATCCAGAGGTGTAGACAGTATGTGGACTAAAATAAGGCAGCATACGAGGGTTCATGGTTACAGACTATATGAAATACAGATGGCGGTAGCTCTCAACCAGGGTGTCCCGAGAACCTGCCAGGAATGCTATGACACTGCCACTGCAGGGTGAAACAGCCCTGCGCACCTGTTCTCAGGAGGCATGTTGCACTTGAACTGAGAAGCAGCTGCAGAAGAAAGATGCACTTGCCTGTATTATATTATGCAAGCAGGTGCACTGCTTCTGTTGCAGCCCTTCCTGGTTCAGCTCTGATGTGCCTCCTAAGAACTGAGGGATGTGGGGCAGTTATACCCAGTGGTGGTGGCAGCAGATGCTACTGCCACCAGGGAGAACTGCCTTGCTTTTTAGGAGGCACATGCAAGTGGGAACAGAAGGGGAAGTGGCTGCAGCAAGAGCACAGACAAGCAGCTCACACCACAGAGAGGAAATCAGACTACAGGAATTAGTTCCGTATTTCCACTCTGCCACTTGTTTTGTTGTAAAGAAAGACATTCATTCATTCATTCATAGAATGCAACTTTTTGACAGGCTGCCCTTTTACGCAATCACAACCTAGGGTGCAAAGAGCCATAGAAGTCATCCTCAGGATACCTGGGACCACCTAGATCAGTAGTTCTCAACCTGTTTGGACTCAAAGCACCAGTTCATAACTTGTGAATTGAAGCCTGGTTTCAAAAACCACTGTTCATATTACAATGGGGCCAGGGAGTGGGGATAGGGGACAAGCCTGGCCCTATGCTTATTTACTTAAAGCAGTTTTCTGCTTATCTCCTTGCACCTCGCTTATTGCTTCACATTAGTAGGCACATGTAGACACTACCAGAAATATATTGATTTTGCTTTCCCAACTACTCTGAATTTACAATAGCAGGTACTCTACCATTCAGAAAATAAGTTACATAGTTAAATGTGGGGGTAACCCCCAAGAATGTTAGATAGTACACATAAAAGTAATTTTAAAAGCAGAACTCCTGAAAACCAAATTTGTAACTATGCAGACAGCTTAAATAATTGCAGGCCATGACTGCAGTAGGGTCACAGCATTGGTGTAGTAGTGATGGTCCAGAAAACATGTGAAAAGTAACATTTGTATGAGAATATCTTTTACATGGGAGATGGAGAACAGAAAGCCTGAAGCAGAGACTGCAGTGAATTCTGGGATCAGAGAAGCAGGGGAGCACTGCATGATGGGAAATCTATGCTCCAAATGCTAATCAACCCATGTTCACACACACCCAGCTCAGCATTTATCAGACTAGTTCTAATCTGGATTTACAAAGGACTTCCCCCACCCCTAGACACACACACCTCTAAGTTTAATAGGCATCTCGGGCCGTACATTCCCCGGTCCCACTATGGGAGGCCTATTTAAATTTGATTGACTAAAACTCGGTTGCCGGGTTAGGGAATGCTCAGGCAAGGAGACAGAGTCAGAGCGGGTATGGGCAACATTTGAACAATGATTAAGGGTTCATCACAGCGTCCAGTCTGTTGGAGCCCTAACCACAAGTGTTGTCATGCTTTTCCCAGGACAACTGGTGGAAGTCCTCCTGCCCAAAGGTTATGAACACCCCAATGATTGCCTTAAGTCTGTTAAAAGACTATAGTAAGATCTGGAAAAGTCATGCTAAGCTGAGGCTTGTTCACAACAAGTAAAAATCCAAAACCCTGATGCTGCAAGCTATCTATTGTTTCTGAAGAAACCATGAGATATCCCATCAGTATATCTGCCACCCATAGGAATCTCAAGCTGGCTCCCAAGTATTTGGGTTACTCCCTAATCTTAAGTGTTTCCTGATTATCAATCAGTTTCCTGAGATGGTCCAAACCAGATAACCCCTTGTCAATAGAAAAGACAATGATTTACACTACTGAAGGTGCTTCGAAGCAGCTGAACTGAGGGTATAAAAATCTGTAAGTGTGTGTGCTGCTAGAAGAGGAAAAGGAAGGAAAAGAAGTAGAAGCAGGAGGAAAGAAGGAGAAGAAGAAAACCCCTGTGCTGACACCATCCCCTGTCGTTCTTGGGACGCTGGAAGAACAGATCATCTCTCCCTTCAAGGACTGTGCTACAGACTGTGCCTGTCAGCTTTGCAGCCTGAGTACCGTGGACTAGGTGAGATCCCAGCGTTCTCTGTCTTCTTTCTAGGCATAAACTTCTGAACCTGAACTGTATCAGTTAAGCTTGAGCTAAGTTTCCCCAAATACTTAGTGAAACCAGGGTAGTATTGTCATTGTTGGTGTTTGTTTTTCTTTTGCATGTCTATTACTACTAGTACTATTATATATTTCATATGCTTAGCAATAAATAACTTTTATAGTCAAACTGGTAGTAATTGGATATATTTTTCCTTCTCTGCTTCTCTTTCCTCCCGTGCTCTGCAGCAACGCTTCTTTTACCTATGCTAAAGATCCCTGTGAAGCCCAAATTATTGTGGGGTCTGCTCATCAAGAGGCCAAAGATTGGGACGTGCTGAGTTTGAAACACATAAGGGGATCAGCTTGTACAGGCTGATTGACCCAGTTTGACTCAGACGTGCCCTTATGAACTGGTGTGTGACTGATTTGGTGACTAGAGGAACCCAGCCCCATTGAGACTGAGTCCTGCAAGATAGCTCCATTGGGAGGGGGTGAGGACTTGCAGAAGGGAGATATACAGCTCCGTATAGAAACACAAGTAACACAAGCAGCACATTGACAGAATTACCAAGACCCTAGAAACGTATCCCTTAAATGAGCACACCCCAAAGTAATGGGCAAGTCTGGTAACACTGTGCCCTGGGTGGGATCCAGGCTATGGAGCTCCTTGGTGGGCCAGATCCACAGGCTAATGGTGGCACCTGCACTTGCAGCAATCATGGTAACTTCAGCTGCTAATCATGGAGGACACAGGTAGGCCCTGCTGCTGAGAGCTATATCCACCACAGTCCCAATGCCCTGGATTCTGCAGCAACCACTAGCCACACCCACACATTCCCTGGCCTATTGACAGTGCAGCGGGCTAAAAGGAGCAGCTCCATGGGCCAAGTCTGACTTGCGGACCATATATTTGACACCCTTGTTTTACATAATTGGCTTTATCCATTTCAACTGCCTTTTACTTTCTTTGTAGCTACTTCCGATACCTCTTCTTTGCCGTTTTGCAGGTTTACTGCCCTCTTCCCCTTCTCTAAGCAGCTGCCTTCAAATTACGTAATAGTTAAGCAAAGAACATTGTTTTACCTAGCATTTAGCTTAGCCTAGCCTGTATCGGCTTCTTTCCAGATCTTAGGAAAGACATTTTGTGCCCAAAAGCTTGTCTAACACTTTTCCCAGCTATATAAATGGTACAATAAAAGACACCGCCAGCGGCGCCTTTTTGCAGAGGGTGCACCGCCACGCTCAGCAGGTGCACGTGCACCCGCATTCACGCCCTACGCATTGCCGATGCACTGAATATTGTGACAATGCATTAAAAATTACCATGACATACATTAATTGAAACATCCAGAACTCCTTCCCCAAAACAGCTAAGTGCAGAGATTTCCTGAAAGTGAGTGTAAACACAAATGTAGCTTTAGCTGTAATACGTAGGGGGGCACGGGGGGCAGAATCTAAGGATTTACTGTATTTAGTCAAATCTAATATAAGATGACCCCCCCCAAATAATTAGATTCTATACATGTAAAAATTATAAATGTTATAATTTTCCATATATAGATTATAATTATTGGGGGGTTGTCTTGCATCTCTCCCCTCCACCCCCAACTGCTACAGCAGAGAAAGCAGTCGCTAGGGGGGACTGGGTGGCTGAGGAGTGGGGGTGGAAGGGGGTCAGGGCCCCCTTGCCCTCTGCCTCCCCAGCCTTCCTGCCCTCCTACCACCGGCTTCTCCCCACCCCCAGTTCCCCATATAATCTCTGCCCCTCCCTGCCACTACCCCCAATCTCTGCCCTTTCCCTCCCTCCCCCCAATCTCTGCCCTTCCCCTCCTACCACTCCCCATAGTCTCTGCCCACCCCCCAGCTCCCCATATAGTCTCTGCCCCTTCCCCTCTCCAACCCCCACCCCCTCCATACACACACATTTAGTGTCAGATGCTGCCTGGACTTTGTTTCCTCCTAAAACACAGCATGTGAAAGAGCAGCCCTGATACGCCATGTGACAGTGTCCATGCTGCTGACTGGCCAGGCAGGCAATAGGAGTTTCCATGTTCTCTGTGCCTGGGAGGGAACCCAGCCCAAGCCAGAGCTGAGTTGTGCCTGACAGTAAGGGGAGGAGGTGACTGCTGTGGGTCTGACTCTGGCCCCAGTGTAGGCTCAGAGCCAGAGTTGTAGTGCCCTCCCCACATGCTTTGTATGCAAAGTTGAAAACTAGGGGCTTTTTCCTCCATGCTGATTGGGAGGAAACCTCATCTTGGATTTGAGTAAGTATGGTATTTTAAAATGTTCACATGATTTGCCAAGTGATATGAGGAGGTGATAAAGTTGGTTTACAATATGTTGACTGTAGAAACTTATCCTCCTATCCAAAATCAAGTTAATGTTTAAACATGATGTGTAACAGCTGAAACAGGTCATTAGTGTAGAACACAAACCTTTAAAAACATTTTTTTTTAAATTTATAGTCTTCTAATTCAGCCACCAAATTTAACAAATTTAAGTTGCCTTAATCACTTACCTTGAGAACAGATACCAGTGATTTTTTGGATTCGCCCCGTCTCTTTAGGAAATGATAGAGGTAAGCATGAGCATTGGGATTGGGAGGAAACTTGGAGTTGTAGGCATATTCAGTTAAGACTTCCCGGGCTTCATCATAATCTCCATAAAATTCCAACAGCTATGGAAACAATGAGATGATAATATTGCTGGTGTTTAACAAATAAATAATCAAATATTTACAATTCAGGAACAAGGCTGAACCTGCCACCAAATTCTCAGCTATGGAGTCCTGCAGAGGACATATGCTGGCAGCAGGGAGGATGGGGGGAGGGGACAATGGGGATTTAGTGGCAGTTGTGTTAATTCAGGGGTTTTCAACCTTTCTTAACAACTGTGCCCCTTCTGTCTCAAAGTTTCAGCTCAGGTACCCCTTTATATTAAAATTATTTGTGGGGGGGGCTGAGCAGACATGAGTGCATGTACAGCCCACTCCCCCAGCAGGTAAGTCTATGGGGGAAGGGAAAGGGCTGTGGGGGCGGCGGGGCACAGATTGAGGCCCCCAGGGTGAGGGAAGGAGTGGGGCACAGATAGGGACAGGGGCTGAGTCATGGGACAGTTGGAGCCCAGGTGGCTTATCTAGGGGCATGGTGAGGGGGGGGGGGGGCCCCCCCCTCCCCTGCCCGGCACACCCCTGTGGAGGCCTGCGGGGCATGTGCTGCCCCCTCCCGCCCCCCCCAGATCTGTGCATGGGGTGGAGATGGCTGCCACAGCGCGCTGGGTTTTGCATGCCGCTGCAGCCACCCTGGGAGCAGTGTGAAGGCATCTGCGTTCCACTGCCAGGTGGGCACGGGGTACAGCACAGCCCAGTGGCAGCAAGCACATGGTGTTGTACTGTTCCTGGGGCAGCTGCAGCAGTGTGCAAAGCCCAGCGCACAGCGGCAACAACCTCTGCCCCCCCAATGTGTGTGTGGGGCATGTGCCCACCACTATGATCTTTTTAAGTACCCCTAGGGGTACACATATCCCTGGCTGACAACCACTGTGTTAATCTACATGTCCTGCTAGGTCCAGATCTGCCCCACAAACAGCCTTGCAGCCCATGGGTGCACATGAGTCTGATATCTGTCTTAAACTTTAAGACCTGTAAATAGAAGAGGGACTTTGAGGAATTCCATACTTGTTTCCCAACATTAGTATTTATGAAAGTTCTTAACAACCATAATAACTGATGTCCTCTATAATGAAAGTATAAAAAGTGAAGCTGCAAACTTCCTTGTGAAGAGGCCATCTCCAAGTATAAATTCTGTTTGCTTCCAAACCACCCTACCCTCGGATGTTTTTGTATCTCTTAAAGTCTCAGTTCAAATCCTACTAGAATCAACAAATAAGAATTGGAGTATTTTGTTAATCAATGGAATAGGGCCCAAAGAAAACTGAGGAAAAACATAGTGAAGCATTTTAAAATTTATGATGCACCAAATTCTTGATGATTTTGCAGTAAACAATACTGTGTACGCAGCATCGTCAGGTATTTTCTGACTAAAGCACAAATATGTTAGCATGTTTCTGTACAAAGTCTAATATCCATTAATAGTGCTGCTGTTACATGCAATTTACTTCCTGCTATATACAGGGAAATATTAATATGCAGAAATCATTAAAAGACCACTGAAAATACTTTAAACAGGCAACTCAATATTAACATATTAAAAAGTTGCTGTTACTGTTCCAGGATTTCTTTTCAATGAACAGGACTGCTCTGCCTCCCTAGGTTAGTCCTCCTAATGAGATTCCAGAAGTAGGTAAAATACCACAGGGCAGGCTAGCAACCTCCATTTATAATAAGTGAAACATTCTAAGAGACATATGTTAAGGTTACGTCTGTATTAAAGTTTGTAAGCAGAAAAGAGACTTTGAGGAATCCCATTTTTTTTCCCCGATGCAGGGATCCATTACAGCATGGATCAGCAACCTATGGCCCATGGGTTGGATCCAGCCTGCAGAACCTTTGGAGCTGTCCTGCAGAAATAGGACTTTGGTGGCATTTGGCAGAAGGAGACCCTCTCCCTGTACTGCCAGGGAGAAAAATTATGGCAGCAGTAAGGTCTTAGTGTCTGCCCACCTCCAACCTGAAGTAGGTCATTCCAGCCCATGGCCAGAAAAGGGTGCCTACCCTCTGACAATTAAAAGGGGATTGTTCCATTTCTGCATGCAGATGGGGGAGCAGAAATCAAGTCATGCTCTTAATTCCTGTGTCATTATCATAAACAAAGATTGTACAATCTGTTCATCAAATGAAATTAAATGATCCTGTGCATGCACTTTACATTGGCCCTACATTGCGATGGAAAGTGTAATTGATTAAACTAATTTTCACAAGTAGAGGAGACCAGAAAACACTATTATCACTTAGTACATTTTTATAAAAATCTACTCTAATTACAACAGAACTTCAAATAGTCAAATACCAGAATATATTTTTCTCTGATATACCAAAGGCAACTATTTAAGAATACACGTGTAAATGTGCTCTTACATCCACATAGGACACCACGAAAGGATCCCAAACTCCAGGTATTTTAATTATCTCCTTAAGATTCACTGCTGCTTGCCGAAAAAAGTTGTGCATTTCTTGTTCAGAGGAGTCTGTAAAATTTTCTTCATCTGCCAAAAGATAAAAATTAGTTGTATTTTGTCAGTTAAATGGGGCACTGATAGAGTAGTACATGTAAGAGGCAGTCTCATGAAGGCAGGACAAAGACAGCTAACTTCAAAAGATAAGTCAAGTGCAAGTTCCTCAATGGCAGAGGTTGCAGATCAGCGAGAACAAAGGATGAAAGGGAAGTTGTTTATCTGTAGAAACAGTGTGGATGGGGAAAAATACTAAACACTCACATAACTTAGCTCAAGATAATTATATCTTAACTGAAAAATGACAACCATCTTACCTCATTTCCTTCATCCACCAATTGATAAATGAATCACTAGAGAATGAGCTAAATACATTATTTTGCACTGACTGTGGAGATTAGAAATGGTTTCCGTTTTTGGTGTTCTACATGGGAATTAACAAGTTAATTAATTTAGGTCTGAATCTTGATTTATGTAGTCAATAAATTATGAACAATTTATTTAAGAGCTCTTTATTTTGTTAGTGCAGAGAGGGGAAATAAAAATAAATGGAGATCCATCTATGAAGAACAAAGCTAGTCATATCAAGTTGCTATAGGTATGGAACTCAAAATTAAGAATTTACAATAAAACCACATGGGGAAGGCAGCTGACTTAAAGAAGAGACTATACACTCATGCCCATTTTCTAGGCAGAATTTGCCTGAGTAATCATTCTTCATTAGGACCTTAGAAATTCCTACCTATGCCAACTTACTTGCTTGGAGCGTATGTCATGCCTACTTCTAAGGGTACCCAAGAACTTGAAACAGGTACTTTTGTGTTGCACGATGGTAAAAGTCTAAACAAGCAATATTGCATTTTGTGCACAAAAAAGTTGTCATTGATAATATGATAATTTCCACTAAGGTAAAACTCTGAATCAGGGATGTCAGAGGAATTACAGTATGTCAGCCTCTTAAGGTAGTTTGACAATTTGTTTTAAATGGCTTTTTTAAATAAGGACAGCTCCTAAATTTGGTTTACATCATTTTTCTATTAATATTGCTTAAATTACATATAATTTTCTTGCAGAAGTTTAAATAAAAGCCACAAGTGACCTTTTACATTCTATATCTAACAGGATCCCAGGGCAACTCTCCACCTCCCCCCCATCCCCATCATCCTCAAGGGAAAGGAGTTCCAGAGTCCGATTTGCTACTGAATGGTATTCAGTGTCTCCATGCTCCCACACTCATTTAAATCTAGGAAGTCTGTCTGGATGTCTCAACTAATCTCAATTCACATAGCAGTACATAACAAGTTGTCTCTCAAAGAGCCAAGACACAAGCAGCAATGCATTTTGTAGATCAGAGTCAACATAAGTGTTTCTCTCAGAAGCAGAAAGACCCAGGACAGCTAACCAAAAATAGGTGGAAGGTGCTCTCAGCAGATGACTCCACAAGCATACTGGCAGACAAGCAGAGTGCCCAAGCTGAAGATAGTGAGTAGTCTTCACGAACAGCTGCATGGGGAGTATATTTAAAGTAGTCCTGGCTGGAGATCTTGGGTATGGACTTCTCACAGGTATTCTTGCCTTTAAAGAAGGCAAATACCTGCCCCAAGCACAGATACTTTTGGTTAAACTGGCACCCTGCATAATTCTATTAATTGCCATAGATCCAAAACCACCTCCAACCACTAGCGGATAAACTCTCTTGATCAAAAGAAAAAGATGCATCCTTGTTATAAAACTCTCTACATTAAAGCAGCAGAAACTAAAATGAAACTAACCATCTTGCTCCGTTTGAAAATACAATGTTAGCTATACACTATGAAAGCAAAGAGGACGTACTGTCTGGGGTCAACATAACTATGACAGAATCTTCTATATTCTGATGCTTTTGCAACCTGAAGAATCTTACTTTTTCCTCACCCCACTTTGTAAGAGATGGTAAAAAGGCATTCTACATGAATAGAAAGCACCAGTCACTTATGGTAAAAGAAGGACCTTTCAAAGAGTACTGATTTTTCACTCTAAGGTCACAGGAAAGTACAATCTCAACCGGAACGTCAGAAGTTGGTGATTATTCTTTGGGATCATTTTTGCCCAACTCATCTTCAGACATTAATAATCTAGATTGGTTGATGCTTGTAATATCTACCCTAAATCAGTGGTATTCAACCTTTTTTTACATTTGTGAATCCCTAAAAAATTTTGAACAGAGGAGCAGACCCCTTTGGAAATTTCAAATGGAGGTGCAGACTGCTTTGAATGGCTAAGTGTGGGTATTCACATACTTCTGACTGATCAAAATCATCTTTTGTGGACCCTTTAGACATTGTCCACAGACCCCTAGCAGTCTGCAGACTACACGTTGAAAACCACTGTCCTAGATCTAAAGCCAGAGTGAAATGGGTCAAGGAACTCAGAATGAAGTAGCACCATCTCTCTCAGGCTTCCCCTAACATTGGAGATAAGGCAATAACTGGAAAGGGCAGTAGTATCGCAAAAGAATCTTCATCAAGGGCCTCAGGCACCATTAATCTGAAGTAGACAAGCATTAATCTTTAAAAAAAAACAAAAAACAAAAACCCACACCACAAAAAAAACCCACAAAAAAAAACCAAAAACTAACCTAGGAACTTTCCCTCATCAGCAGAAGTGTCCCATGATCAGGTTAGCAACTGAAGCTCTGAAACACCTCAGTATGTAATACTGGCTTGAACCTTTTGGACTTTGCTTTGCCATCATAAATCTGACCCAAATAAGATCAGGCTAATCATACAGTAGACAGAAAATTCCACCTGAACAGTAGATTTCTCTCACTGAGAAGGCAACCAATTGTCTTTATTATCCAGGACAATTGTTTTAGGAATATGAAGACTCAGTAGCAGAAAACTCTTCTTAAAAAAAAAACAACCAAACTTTGTGGCATGACTTATTTTTTGTATTTCTTGAGAACTTTGTGCTGCACGTGATCAGATGGAGTGCAGCTACTACTTTTCTAGCTCGTCCGTCTTTCTATAATCATTTGCAAATCACAGTGGCCTGTGAAACTAGGCAAATTGAAATGTACAGAGTAGTCAAAGAAAACAGCATTGGTACTCACCAAGCTCTAACATGGCTTTTCTCTTCTTAGACCAGTTATAGTAGTCCAGGAGACCCTTGTAAGCTTGAATGAGTTTCAGCTCATCATTCTGAGCAGCAGTTTGTTCTCCATACCTCCAGCTTTCTGCCAGGGTAAGGTTTTGGTAGGCTTCATCTATCAATCCATTACACAGGAGATAAAAGATGTGTTCTAAACAAACCTATGACAAAGAGGAAAGAAAAAAAAACCAGGCTCCTAAATAATGCCCATCACATCTTACAAAACAGCAGATTTTCCTGACAACATACGTTTTTTATTTTATTTTTTTGCTACATCTGAACAGAAGAGCAAGATTAATGGCCATATAAAACATTCTGCATAAATTTTAATTTGAACTATTATCAAAAGAGAAAAAAAAAAAAAGTAGAAATGCATTTTGCATAGATTATTTCATTCAACAGGTTTCTCCTCAGAAAACAGGGGAGATAGCTACAACAGTAAGAGGGAAGAAGTAGTGAACAGCTAAATGGATGTTTTTTGTCTTGGTCCGAATCACAGATGTTGCAAAGAGATATAACCCAGACCTCCTTTACCCTGATAATAAAGATGGGGGACTGTCAGAGATGGAATAAAAAAAGTGCTGAAACAAACTGATAATTTCCAAAGCAGTAAGTCACCAGGCACAGCTGATATATATCCAAGAGTCCCAAAAGAGGCTTAAGTTCTTTAAAGGCTTTAAAAAAAACCAACAAAATTACTCCAGTAACCCTTTCAACTGTACCTGGTAAAATGGCAGATAATCACGTATATCAGGTGATTTGTTCTATTTTTAATTGTAATAAAAAAGGGTTCAACTGACATGGGAGCAGCATAAGAAAAAAAAAAAAAAAAAAAAAAAATCACAGCTCTGAAACCTGAGGATTTTAACATATTGAGAAGGTAGTTAGCAAAAGGGGTACTAAATGAAAGCGTATCTAAGCTTTCAAAAGGTCTCTAACAAGGCTCCTTACAAGAGAGACAATTAATTACATAGGAGGAGAAGCAAAACATCATTGTGGATCAAAAGAAAGATTAGAAGATAGAAAGCAGAGAACAGGATTAAAGAATCTATTTCCACTATGGCAAAAGGAGAACATGATGTCATGACATTCTACACCAAGTTTATAGTTTAAACTATTTTAGTGACTTAAAAAGTAGGAAAGCAGCATGGCAGAAAAGTCTGACAGTTGGGATTACAACAGACTATGAAGAAGTACAGATATGATGGAAGTGTGGATAACTAAAGTTAACATGTGCTGGAAAGGAAAATTAAATTATACTCATAAACCCAAATTCATTCTATCAACTCAGAAAAAGGACCTGGGTATCACTATGGACAGAGCAACTGCAATGAAAAAGGGCAAATGATGCCAAGTCTATAAAGAATGGGGTGCAGAATATTATGGAAACTGTAATGCCCTTATATTAACAGTACCATCTCTGCTAGTAGTGTAATCAAGACTACTATCTCCATTACGGATATCATCATTAAAAATTGGTGGTAACCCCTATACATAAGTTTTCAAACATAAGCATAATTTAAGTCAATAATGCCCCTTTAAGCTTGTCCTCACCTTTAAATAATATTTTACTCCTAAATTTTTCATCCGCTCAGTAAAGTAGTTGAGCTCTTCTATGTTGCTCTTGGAATGATGAAGCAGAATTTCAGTTCCTATTCTCCAAATCGCCTGCAAAGTAACTACACATTTCAGAAACATAGCTTCTATGCACCACAACCGAAGTAGTACTAGTCTCTGATCACTAAATTACTACTACGATTCCTTTCTGTGTTCTATCAGAAATGGACATACTTCTTTTAGTGAAAAACGAACATGCAAATTTTACTTATCAGCAAATTAATATCATCTACACATGGTATATGGTTTAACAAAAACAAAAATTAACATTCATGGAAGTTCCCTAAGCAGGCATAAAGGTTTGGTTTTTTTTAGCAACATATACAGAAATCATATTTTGTAAGCAAAGCTAAAATATGTCTCCTCCTGCTTGAAAACAGTTCAAGGAAGAAAAAGAAAAAATTAAAAAAAAAAAGCAGTTTTCCTTTGATATTTTCCCTCTAGAATGCAAGGTAGAGGTAGCTCATGTTACTTTAATACAAAAGAGATTTTTTTCCCCTCTGCATCTCTCAAATTTTGAAAACAGAAGACCTCCCCATCAAGAAGACGTCTCTGATCAAAGTCTGTCTACAGGACTAGATCCAAAATTGTAACAGGCTATAGAATGCAAAGGCTCCATATTTCAGGGATGTACTTGGTAGCCGTGTTGGTCTGAGACCAGACATACAAAAAACCAGAACTTGCAGAAAGCTCCCAAAAGCTTGCAGAAAAGGACAATTTCCTTGCAATTTCCTAGTTGGTCTAATAAAAGGTATTATTTTGGAACCAAGAGTTCTAGTTTTTTTTGCAAGGCTCCATGTGGCACTTTTTAAAGAAAATGCTGCTTCAATACCTGTATCATTGATTCAGATACTTATATGAAGCAACTAGAGAGAAGGCTCATAAGGTTCTAGAGAAAGCCAATAGGGAATTAAAAAAAAAAAAAAAAAAAAAAAAGGATTCCAAACTTCAAATGGATTCTGACATGGGACACCAATGGCAAATGTATTCTCATTGGACAGTCAGTTTAGAAAAAAAAAAAAGCATATGTATTAATTATGCACGTTACCTGCAAGATTCATGAGAATTAATTCATACTTGAACCAAATTGTCATCTCCTTTGCCATGGGTCCAAACAAACCATTTGTGCAAGGAGCTCAGAGCCCAGCTTTCCACGGCACTCAGCAGCAGCACTTCAGTGGGTTCAACAGGACCCCAGAAGTTCTGGAAATCAGGCCACTTTAGAACATAAGAGGTGGTAATACTTTGTCATCCACTAAATTAAGATGTCAAATAGTGGCTTCAGAGCAGATTGTTCCAAATGCAGTCAATCAGCCCATGAAATTCACAGATACATTAGCCTGCAGGGCATAGGCTGCTAATCCCCAGTCTGGACGATGCCTGCAGACACTGGAGAGGCACCTCCCCTCTGCTGCCACAGGGAACAGTGCCAGTGCTGGTTGGGTCCTAGTAGCCACTCATCCACCTGCCTGCCTCTGACTCCAACTGGGCCAATCCAGCCCAAAGCCTTAAAAGGCTGCTGCTACATTAGACAACTCCCCTGCTCCCAAGCTGCTCCACATTACCTGAATAAAACCCCTTAACTGCTAGCAACTACGGGGTCTAGTTTTGTGTGGTCTGCTACCCGATACTTGTGCAACAGAACTGTGGTTGCTTATATGCAGGGTGCAGTTTTGTGCCCCCTCTGCCAGGGACATCCATGAGTTGTCCTGAACTGCTAAACTTTGTTCTATATCTCTACTGTTTTATATGCTAGAGGTTTGTTTTCCAAACTTATCGGTTGGTATGGATACCTAGAGAGTAACCAAAAGAGCACACACCAACTGCTGAAGCTTCCTTAGCCTGACGAAGGGTTTTTGAACCCGAAAGCTTGCTTAATAACTATTCTCCAACCATTTGGGTTGGTCTAATAAAAGATATCAAATTCACCCAAGGAACCTTGTCTGCCTATGTCCTTAGACCAACACAGCTACAACCTAAACCCCAAAACCTCTCTAATGCACACATGTTCTTGTAAAGCTTTGAGGTTTCTTTTTAACAAATAAGACATAAGTATGGATCATGAACTACTTCAAATGCCCTTTTAAATTATTTCCATCAACAGCAAGTGAATTCTGGTAACAGCCTCTTTTTATCTTACCTCTGGAGCAGTTTTCCGTTTACTCACTGTACTTGTTTCCAATATCTCCAAGTAGCTAATCATGAACTCTGCAGCCCTCTGCCACTGGTTCTGCAACAGGGCATCTTGAATGTAGTTTAAACAAGCTTCCTTCGTTTTCTGAAATTCTGTTTCCTTTGGACCCCTAGTTACTAAAAAAAAAAAAAAAAATAGGATTAACAAATAAGAGAGGGTAACAATGTAACTATCACTTTACTACCTTTAGCTTTGTCCAGGGCAAACTCTGCCAAAGGAGGTGAAAAAGACAGAAACCATGCTTCAAAATGCAACTTCAAATATTTCCTAAAATACAGTGGATTTCTCCTCTGAGCCCATCTCCTCTCTTATTTAAGGTCTACATTGCAAGATATTGCACTATGATCACCTAGAAACCTCAACCAAGAGTAGAACTCCTTTCAGCTAAGCAGTGCTCACCTGAAGAATTGAAAATGCAAGTAGCTGGTACAAACAAATTAAAAACTCTTATTTAAGCAGATTGTAAACTGAAGCAGAGATGGGGAGAATTTGTTCCTATACTATGACTAAGCTTGAAGAAAACTTGCAGCTTCCCTACGCGAGGGCTCCAAGAGGCTGGTTAGGCCCCTGCCCAAACCGGATCGTTGTTGCTGCAGCCCATATAGAACCTGTGGCAGTTAAAGTCTGAATGGTGTGCCTCCTGAATGCACCAATGTTTTCTGATGAAGAAGCGCAAAACTGATAGACCCACGTAGTAGAGTTTGTTCCTCCTCCTACACTGTGAGCTCTACATATGAAACTATTAAAGGACCACGGCTAAACAGGACAGATTTCCCACATGAACTGCATAACCACAGCGTATTGTGGTCTATAGTTGTATTCAAAGACTGTGTTTTCATCTGCTTTGAAATAACAGACCAGTCTCATGTGCCAGAGCCAACACATCCCCCAGACCAGCTCTGTGCAGTGTGCACCAACTCCATGGGCGACTGGTGCCTCCCGATACTAGGGGGGCACCAGCAGCCAACTGCTGACTAGGGGAGGAGGGGGTCCCCAGCATGTGCTAGCGCCAGCTCTATCAAGTCCCTAGGTCTTGAACCAGCCCCATGTTCATGTGTGGAGCCAGTCTGGTGCACAGGGCCAGTCCGAGATGAGCGCTGAATGCAGTACGCATGTCGGACCGGCCCAGTGTTTTGGATCCAGAGCAGCAGAAGTGCCACATGCAATGCATGCCAGACCAGCTCCATGCACGCAGCAATGTCCAGACAACATGTGCTGCACACAGAGCTGACCTGAGCAGAGCTGACCAGGGCAAATCAGCCCATGCGGGGCTGCGCCCCCACTCTGATTCCCCTGGACCTGAAAAAGCATTTTGGGGGGGGGGGGGGGGGGGGGGG